GGCTCATTCTCTTTAAAATATTTTTTTTTTACTTACAATAATCTGAAAGGTTTAAATCTTGTCTCAGGCATAATCTGGATTTCTTTGCGGCTATTTTCAGTTGTAAATGTTTCTGACAAGCTGTCTTTTTTTTTCTTTTTTTTTTTGTTCTCATGCTTTCTTCCAGTTTGCCCCTAGGCTGGGACAGTGACCTGTCAAGCATTCCACTGATGGTTCACCTACTTAGCTGTACCTCAAAAGGCCACAAGAAGATTGCTAAAATCAGCTCACATGAAGCAGTCAGTCATGTTGTGAGATATCTAAGGGTATGCCATGTTTTAGTGTGCTTTTTATACCACTGTTATGACACTGCTTTTGTTGGGGGCACATTTGATTTTACTAGCTAAATAGGCCATTTTAATGTTTTCTTATGGTTCCTCATGTTTATGTTGCAGATTGGGGCCAGTGTTGACACCTTCCTTTGAAGTTTGGATCCTGAACAGCCCTTCCTCCTGTGTGTTGGTGAACAAAGGAACAAGATCTAGAAGTTCTGACATAGTTAACTACAAGGCCATCCCTTGCGAGGTGCAGACATCCCTGACAGCCTTTGACAAGCTCCTCAAGGCACATCAGTGTGAACTACCATGAATCCCTCAACAGCTCCTACACACACGTTTATCCAAATGACAGTATTCAACATGGACATGGGAAGTGCCAAGAAAAGTCCCAGAGTCAAGAAGCTCAGAGCAAGGCTGTTGCACACTTGATACTTGAGGTGATACATATACACAATACATATACATACGTTACGTTTGAAATGTGGACAACAAGGATTCATCGTCATTTTGCACTTCTTCAGGGTTCAAGAAACACCATATTCATTTACACAGGGACACTGTTTCAGCAAATACTGTTGACGATGTGGGCACTCAAGAATATGATTAGCCTTCAACTTCACAAGTAGTCTGTAGAGACACTCCAGTGACCGCCCAGGCCTCTGTTGACAAGCATAATTTGTTGAACATGTGTTGTTCTGTTGTTGCACAGTTACAAGCACCAGGTGTTGCTGAGAGCACAGTACAAGCAATGGTAGAATCAATGGAAGAGCTTGTAAATGATAATCACACACAAGCAAGAGAGGCGGTTCTCTCAGAGATCTCGGGAAATCGAGATACAGATTTGGAAAATAAGGTGGAAATTTGTTTTGACAATTTAGAAAATCCCTCTCAGTCTTGAACACAAAAGCAAAGTGTCAAAAGTTCTTTGAGGGAAAAGTGAGAAATAGATACCCCTGTAGAATACATTCTAGTGGTAAGATTTTATGTAAGCAGAGATCAAACAGTAGGTGTTTATAATCAGATTCCTGTAACAGATAAATTTGTGTATGTACCCATCTTGGGAACCCTGAAGTCAATGTTCAAGAACAGTGAATAATGTGAGAGTTTCTTGCAGGCCAAACAACATGAAAAAGGTATTTTATGAAGATATGTGAGGTTTACATGGACTATTTGGTTATGTTGAGTCTTTCAGTGCAACACATTGTTGTAGATTTTGTTTAGCCACAAAGGAAGAGTTTCAGTCTGTCCTCACTGAAGACAACCCTGGCTTGATTTTTCGTACAAAAGAAATCCATACAGAACATTGTGCAGCACTAAAAGAAGATCCTATGTTGCCATCAGCATCTGATGTAAAAAAGACATGCTTTCTCAATACATTCATTTTTTTTCCACTCCTCCAATAACTACGCAGTTGACACTATGCATGATTTGCTTGAAGATAGTGCAGTATGAATTGAAACTTGTCTTTCAACACCTTGTCAATAAGAAGTATCTATCCTTGGAAACATTGTCACAGGGGATCCAAAGACCATGTGGGTTTAAAATGGATGAGGCAGCAAAGATCTTCGATTAAATTCTATCCAGTCATGGTGTCTGCTCCCCCTATTTTTGATGATGTAGCTGAAAGAAATAACTGTTAGTGGAACCTGCTCCTCCTCTTGATTCAGATAGTAAATATTGTGTTTTTGCCAGTTGTCAATAATGGTAAGACATATTATTTGAAGAATCTGATAAATGATCACCACAAACTGTTCAAATCTTTGTTTCCTGAGAGAAGATTTATTCCAAAGCATCATTTTATGATACATTATCCAAGGTGTATTCGTAAAATAGGTCCGGTTTGAGGCCAAACATAATTTTTAGGAGATCTGTTAAGAATTTGAAAAATATTTCAAAAACATTAGTAAAATAACACAAGAGACAGTTAGTTTATCCCTGGAAAAAAATTATTTTCAGAGGTTTGAGTTTTGTCCAGTGAGGAAGGAAACTGTTGATTGGTTGGAGGGTAGTGAGACTTTAAGTTCAGTGTTAAATGTGAATGCATACTCTGATGTGTCAACTAATTGGGTAAAGAATTATGGAACTGAGTATCAAATTGATGCATTTGTTTGTATCAGGACAAATATGGAAATTCCTGTTTTCGGAAGGGTCAATAACATCATAATAAATGAAGGTCAGGCTTTTATTTTGACTTGTGGAGTTGAGACACTTTATTTTGATGAGCATTTTAATTCTTACTGTGTTGAGGAGAGAGCTGATTCATATTGTCATTTCTATTGAGGAGCTGATTTGTTACAGTCAATTTGACAAACAGTTTTCCCATGAGATGGATGAAAAAACATACATATTGCCACATTGCCATATTGTGTGACCTGTGTTGTTTCAAGACTGATTGTCCATTGTTATTGTAAAGCAAATGCTTTGGTGTAAAGGATCATAATACAATTTTACTTGAACTACAAGCCTCTTTGTGTTATTGTCCTCTTTTCTTATTTTAAGACTTTGTGTTCATTCATAACTCTCTCCATCCCACTCCCACTGCCACTGCTTCCTCCAATTAGCTGACTATGGGTATTCACTCTTTTACTAATCCAATCAAACTTTGCCACGACCTCTCTCAGCCAATCAGGATGCCACTGCAAAATATTAAATCCCTTCCCTGTTCAACTATGGATTCATCACCTTCCTTAAATCATACCATCTATAAGGGGTCTATTTACCAAAGACTATTCACATATCGAATTCCTATATGCAAATGTTAATAAATATTCTTTTTACTATAAAAACGTCTCTCCTGATTGAATTTACTCTATGTAGTGTGGACCAATATAGACACTTTCAAAGTGTTGAATTAGCATTGCTGATTTTGCTGTGTAGTATGTGAATTAGTATTTGTCTTTCAAACAAGGTAAGATGACTTGTACCTATGATTGTTAACACACCAAACCGACATCAAAGAACTTGCAGTGATATAGGCCGACTGTACCGGTGTCTTGGGCAGAAAGTTGCACATGAACACACCGCAAAGTCTACAGCTGACAGGGGTGTTGGTGGCTTAGTGGTAGAGTAGGCGCCCCATGTACAAGGCTGTTGCCGCAGCGGCCTGGGTTCGAATCCAGCTTGCGACCCTTTGCTGCATGTCATCCCCCCTCTCTCTCACACACTTACCTGTCCTGTCCATTAAAGGCAAAATGGCCAAAAAAATATCTTTAAAAAAAGAGTACAGCCAACTAGAACATGTGCCAAACCGGAAAACTGACAGGATGAACTCTACACTTGTTAGCCAATTAGCACATTAACAAGACAAACAGATATTAAAAGAGCAAAAGCTATGTATTGTGTGCTACTATTTCTGCTAAGGAGCTCAACAGCTAAAAAAAATTATCTTACCTAATAAAAGTTTGTTTAGATTCTATGCCCTCTTGACTATAGCTCTTTGTTTACTTTCCTCACTTCTGTTTCTCTTCTCTGCGCTGAACTGCCAATCAGAGTGATTTCATTCACTGATGGGCTCTGTCGTCTCCACTGCTGATTCATCATTCATACTCATTCATCATGCTGAATTGGCAGAAAAAAGCAGACAAGGGCCAACTAGTACCAATGGTACAGGACACACCGCAAAAACTAAGGCAACAGACGCTCACACACGGCCTGATATTGACTGAGGGGTGACTGTCAGCTTGGTGTGTCAGGGCCTTCAGTGAAATGAGGAGAAAGCTCTTGTGGAGTGGGTTCATGGTAAAGGTCATTAGATTGCCAGGCAAAGTAAAGGGGATATTGGAATGCATGTAGAATATAAGAGAGCTGCTTAATGACCTTCAACCAATAACATCATATGCGTGTGCAGAGCCTAAAGGTGTGATAGCAGTTGCCACATTGATTCGTTGTATCCCATGAACAGTAGAGGGTGCTTGGTGGAGAGGGGGCTTAACAGCCTGCCCTGGACCACCACTGATTTCTCCGAGCAGCTAAACTTCACCTTAGTACATGGGCCCCTGTCAGCGTCTGGGTTGCGGCACTCTTCACTGGTTGCACTGTGATATTTACACCATTGGCATGCAGTGCTGTAGCATGTGTTAACCTAAATTAAACTCTCCCCTTTTGTGCCTTTTGCCACTCCCACCGCAGGTGCAGCTAGTTGTTAGCTCCTGCAAGAGGAAGCCAGCAGAACAACATAGGAAGCCAGACGGGTGGGCCGTCACACATACACACTGTAAACCCGCTGTATGTTCAAAGAAGAGAAAGAAACACAAAACTTTATACTCTTACCATCTTTACATATACAAACACATATGCTGTACATAACCACCTGCCGTTTTTTGAGAAACATATACATACAGCTCATAATGTTGTACCTCATCATTTTTTAAACCCATTTCTTTTAGCATTTTATCATGTACGTGTCTCTGCATTTTAATTACTCACATTTTTATTCAGTCTTGATTTAATTTTAATTGATATTGAATATTGTTTACTGTATACTGATTGATTTATTGGTTGACTGATTATGAACTGCAAAGCCACTCTGACAGCGCATGCAGGAATCACACTAATAGTGAACGTTAATTTTGGCCAATTTAGTCTCCCACCCATGCGGACATTTGCCAAAAAATACCCCATCGCCTGCCCTCACTTGGCAGAAAACCATTACTTGTGTCTTTATTCCTTAGGCGCGCTCCTGTCTCATGCAGGCGCGCGAGAGGGATTGTGCGTGCGCGCGCTTGGCACGGCGCCGCGCACTCCAGCCACTGTGTATAGTAATCCAGAGCAGTGGAGCTCTCAGCTAGACATGGCGGCCGATCCTAAGCCGGACTGGCTCTCCTGCCTTCCCTCTTCTTGGAGTTATGGGGTGACTCGGGATGGACGCATATTCTTCATCAAGTAAATATCACGCGGACACACGGATTTATGGATACGCATTGCGTAATAGTCCAACGTATTTTTCCTGTTTGTCTTTTTTCGCGTTCTCTGTTCACCTTTTCCCCGTTTTCTTCCACCAACAGCGAAGAAGCAAAGAGCACAACCTGGTTACATCCTGTTACTGGAGAAGCTGTAATCACGGGGCACAGAAAAACTCCAGGTAAACAATCTAACAATGTGTTTTTCCACCTCTATCCCTGTGAAAACACGCGCGCGCGCACGCAGCACCTGGGAAAGGTTTACCGCGTCACAGTGCAGAAGAAAAAGGGACGACAAGTTGCAGAGAGCCGTGAAAGACGATGAGGGTAGATTTCTTCTCTCTGCAGCAAAGCAACAGCCTCCTCTGCTCCTCCGCTCCCCTCTCTGCTCTCCTTTGGCGGCCCATTACGCACAGCGTCCCCCCTCCCCACCTTCTCTGGCTCGCTCCACCTGGACACTTTGCGACACACTTTTTAAAAGTTCCGTCACGTAGGCGTGAACCGATTTCGGAGCCGATTCCCTGCAGTGACATCTGACATATGTCCCACTGAAACCCGCTGCGCTGCAGAAACTCAGTGTTTTCTGAGCACGTACAGGCAACCGAGGCTGCTGAGAGAACAATGCAGTGCGTCAGTGCAAAGCCGATATTCAAAAATGAAAGACACATCTGCCGCGACAGGAAGGCATGGCGTGTGGGAAGGCATCGTAACATGCAGATCAGCAGTGTATCCAAACAGCTGGAGGCTGAGCAGTCCACGCACCGACGCACAATGATTGAGTAATCCTGCGATATCTGCTCTGGTTATTGGGGAGGGGGCGCGGAATTGCGTTAAAGGGCACAAGCCAAACGAGCTATTTGTGATCCAGACACTGCATTGCTGTGCAGGTGTGTGTGTCTGCGTGCGTGTGTGTGCATGCTGTCAGCTTCATATCTGTCTGCACAGCTGCTTATGTTTCTGTGTCTTGTGTTTTCTTTTCCCTTCCCGTCCTCACAGATTTACCAACAGGATGGGAGGAAGGATACACATTCGAGGGAGCTCGCTGCTTCATCAAGTGAGTTGGAATGTGTCGAGACAGAAAAAAAAAGAGCGATAGGAAGAGTGATAGATGCAGAGAGGCAGAGCAGCACTTTGAATCTCAGGGAGTGAGGGGCTGCTTTGTTTGGTCGGCAGGCACAGAGATTTCCCTTAGCTTTCATCAACGCCCACCTCTCTGCCTCTTTGCCTCTCTTTCCCTGTGCCTTTCTGTCCCTCTGCCTCCCTGCCTCTCTGCCCTGCTGGAGGAATACATTTCTGTTTGCCCATCCTGTCAGACTCACACAGACAACCAGTGTGAATGGATAGCTACACAGTCTTGACTTTCTCTCACTGCTGTTGAGGCTTTCTCCTTCTATCAGTCATGCTCTCGCCCTTCACCCTTTTCCCTCTTAGTCTCTACTCTCACACACCCACCCACACACACACACACACACACACACACACACACACACACACACTACAATGGAGGGATTTGCTTGGGCACGAGTCTTTGCTGTCAGTGGGACACAAGTTTGACAAGCAAGTGTGACTCAGCGGCTGGTCTCCTTCGCTGAACAGGCTCTACTTGTTGGGGTGCTGCATGTGAACGTGTGTGTGTGTGTGTGTGTGTGTGTGTGCAGCCTTTCCATGGTTATGAGCAACTCTAGCTCCCTGTGCACATTTGCGTTCATGTATATTTTGTGGACCTGTTTGACGACTAAATTGCCCTGCAGCTAGCAGCCTGTCACACACCCAGAGCTGACACACACACACACACACACACACACACACACACACACACACACACACACATTTTGAGGCTGTGAGCAGGCACTTTCATTTGTTCTACCTACTTTGCCACCTAGTTTTCCTGCTGTTGTTCGTGCTTTCTGTGGCCATTTTGAGAGCAGCAGCTGACACATACAGTGAGCTAATATAGCTGCTCTATAAATAGCCCAGAACCACTGCTCATTGGTATGTATGAATGCATGCAAAATGTGCACACACGGACATGTTTATATACAGGCGCAGTTCCACATGTTATGTGCTTGCATGCAAACACAGACAGTCACTGGGATGAGTCACTGGCAGTCAAATGTGAGGAGTGGACAGCTGTGAATGCAGGTATGAATGCAGCCAGATCACATGTTGGGATCAGAGCAGGACACATTGAGAGGTGGCAAAGGGAGACATCAGACGGTGTACAACAGTTTGAATCTACAAGGCAGGGTTAACAAATTCAGAGGGCCACAGGCAAAAAAGTTGTGTTAGATCAGTTCTGACCCTCACAACTTATGGCCCTCAGTGCGCTGTGTATATCCTCACCTCCAAGTTCCCATAAAGTGCCGTATAAACAGCAGTCATAGACCATGACAGCTTCATGATAGACCCAGAGTCCAGTACCCATTGTGAAATAATACCCCCAAGCCCCAGAATGATGGTGCTTTGATTAAATACAACTTTATTGAGGATTATGCACCATATGGGCCCAATATTTTTGCTAACCCCATCCAGTTTATCCTGTCAATGCTTGGCAAACACCCATACGTCCACAATGTTATGGTTCATATTGACACAAATGACATTCCCAAGCAGCAGTCTGAAGTTTTTTTTAAGAAACTCAAAAACTGTAAAGTCCATCTTCATCTCAGGCCCTCTCCCCTCTCTGTTCTGTGGCAGCCGATGTTTCAGTAGGCTACTCTCTTTGTATACATGGCTGCAGTCGGTTTGTCCAATCAGTTGAGGGTCTCCCTTAACATATTTTCCAAGTCTTAAATAAGGGTTTGATGAATAAATGAATTTATTTTATTTTACCTTTTTAACCAGAAAAAAAATCTCATTTAAGAGTATCCTCGCCAAGATAGGCAGCAACATAAGTTACAGACAGACAACATAGAACAAAAATACAAAACAAAAAAATACAGCTCTAAAACAAGCAATATAAACATAAAATGAGATCACTACAAAGAAAAGTCAAAAAGTATGTTAATATATGCTTTAAGTGGACTATAAAAAATGCATAAAAACAAACAAACAAAAAAAACAGGGCAACTACACATGATTACAAAGACCAGCTGAAATACACCCTGACATTGGCATATAGATTACTGCGTACAAAAATCCTGCAATAGTGCTTTACAATGGCTGTGAGGAACCAATGAGTGCAACTTTAGTCCTTCTGTGCAAGATTCCACATGTAAGGAGTTGGATACATAAATGCCTTTTTGCCAAACAATGTACTTACACTAGGTACAGATGCAGCCACTTCAAATTTCCATTTGGTCCACGGTGGAGCCCTGATCGATCCGTGACAGGTCCCTGTCATTAAGTGGCTGGGCTCATAGCTCTAATGAGATCCCCCGAGATGACGTAGAGCATACGGGGCCGACTGGTAACGCCCCTAAGTTTAATTTGTAGAAACCAGCTGCAATGGTCTGTCTATCCATCAGGAGGAGCAGTAAGTGTGGAAGCTGAGGCAGTTTACTGCGCCTCTTATTATGGAGAGAGCTTCCCACACAGAGCATATTTAATGATTATCAGGCTACCATATCATAAGTCATAAATATTATGCTTCAGCGTTTTGTTATTCAGAAGAGTGGCATGAAAATTAAAGTGATATGGCTGGGAACCAAACGATAGTACAGCAAGAACAAAACTGCGTTTAAATCATTAATCTTAGCGGCTGAGTTTACCACCCCACTCCGTTTACAGAATGTGCGAAAGACAAGAGGATTTTTTTAACCTCAGCGAAAATGTTGTTTTGCAAAGACTACACGCCAACAAATATGGACTGACGCAGAATCTTTCGTTAGATAAAAACAGCTTGCTTCTTTATTATTATTTTGACATTTGCACTGTACAATGCTCTGTACACGCTCTGCCTGCCGCACGCAGCACGGCTTCACCTCATTGATCTGTCGCTGTCTGTCTAAACAGATTCATGGAAGCGATATTTCACAAGACCTGATGCAAGAGGAATTTGTAATAAAATGTCTATTACTATTTATTAACACTTGAACCGCCAAGGGGTCATTTTTACCCCCCTGCCATTTTCAAATGCTTGTAACTTTGTCACAGTAAAACTCTTAACATCTCTCTGCGAAATGCAAGCTAGTTTTGACAGACAGACAGAAAGACAGACAGACAGAAAAGAGGAAGAGAGAGGGATTTGGATTGTGTAGCCTAATTATGTACGGGAGAAAATGGATGAATGTCAAACAAGCTCTGGCGATGCTTCAGGAATAAGTGCACTTATTGTGCGCCTTACCTTTGATGTCTGAGCAGCTTCATGGAAGTGACATTTTACAGTTCTTCATATTTTATTAAGAATTGTAAAATGTCACTAAACTAATGAATTTCGTTAGTTTTAAATATGAAGAATTGTAAAATGTCACTTGGATGAGGCTGTCAGTCAGTCAGTCAGTGAGAGATCACTGGCTGAAATTGGCATTTCATCCTCACACGCAGCCGCAATGATGGTCAAGCTGCATGTAGCCTGCAGAGTTTAACTGAAAAGGAGTGAAGTACTTTCACTAATGCGACATAATGTGGTCCTGTTTATCTTGGAAGGTGAGAGAGCTCAAACACATAATTAGCATTACCATGACCCTTTTCATTGCCTCTGAATGGGTGAGTGTTTCCATCTGAATAGGTTTCCAAGTCACTCAGGTCGTCACACTAAGTGGGCTATACGAACTTTTGATGCAAACATTCAACAACACATCGTCACTGTCAATGTCTGAACTACCTTGTAAAAGGGACATTTTACAATTCTTCACAATATAAACAAAAATAAATGATTTTGTCTCTTAATTAATGTTAATGTTATTTTAAAATTTAAGTCTCTTAATGAGCAACTTTTTTGAAATTATTTAAGTAATTATTTTCAGGCACTAAGTTATTTTCATAATGTTTCTCATTATTCTGAAAACTCAGTACTTTTAGATAGGGGAGACCTGGGCCAACTGTAACACAATTTTAAGTTTTTCTTAATAACTAATGTGTTTATAACACTGATGCTGCAGCAGATAACGGTGGTCATTTTAATAACTTGAATGGACCTGCATTTGTATAGCGCCTTTCTAGTCATCTAGTGACCACTCAAAGCGCTTTCTACACTACGAGTCACATTCACCCATTCACACACACATTCATACACTGGTGGCCGAGGCTACCATACAAGGTGCCACCTGCTACTCAGTTTTAACACACTCACACTCCGATGGAACAGCCATCGGGAGCAATTTGGGGTTCAGTATCTTGCTCAAGGATACTTCGACATGCAGCCTGGAGGAGCCCGGGATCGAACCGCTGATCTTTCGATCGACAATATAAATATGTTCTGTGAATGGAGAGCATAGCCATTTTCCATTTTCTGCTTAATGTACACACATACGCTGTCACTATAGTATGGAATATGATGTAACATTAAAGCATGAAAACTAGGCTTTGCTAAGGGATGCACAATAATATTGACACGTCATTGGTATTGGCTGATATCGGCTTTAAAATGAACAATCAGAATCAGCCAACATGCTTTTTCTTGTTTTGCACAATGAATAAATATCACATACATTGAAAAGCATTCTATTTCATGTCTCCATCTGCTGGTGGGCCATGACTATAAGAGTAATAATATAATATGATGTTAATTCCACAACAGGAGAGACTTGATGATCACTAAAATTAGTTGGGGAAAAAAGTGGATATGTCAATATTGGTTATCGGCCTAATAAGATGTTATATATCGGCATATGGGATATCAACAAAAAATCCAATATTGTGTATCCCTAGTTTTGACACAGGGCCTCAACAAGACAGGGCCATATAATTACATAACAATGCAGGACTCATTTAAGTTGGTATTTTAGTTTACTGGTGCAAATTCCCTAAATCAGTTTGCAATAAGTTCATGCAGTGAAGCTGGGCCATAAGGCCTGACCTAACTTGTGCTGCCAAATTTGAAAACCCAACCTGAGACCTGAAGGTATAGTTTTGATTATTCCATCCATTACCAAGAACATTTACATGGACAAA